GGTGTTTCCCGGCGGAAAGGGCCTCCCAGAAACTTGCGGGGTGTTTGCCGGCGGGCTGCCCCTCTCCTCTGGGTCCGGTGAGAGCGGCGCTTGCCCCTCCGCCGTCTCGGGCGGGGACTGCCCGCCGACGCCGTCCGTGGTTTGGTCGCTACGCGTATGTCTCTCTTTTCCCTCATTTTGGCTCGGCCCTAAGGTACGAGCTGTCGATGGGAAAGATTGCGGTGGGGTGGCCTCGCCCGGGACAGCTTCGCCTTTCCGAGAACCCGGGCGCAGGAGATGGAGAGGTGAACCCCGCGCTGCCCCGCCGGGGGAGGCCGGGACCGGGAAATCCCCCTGGGTGCCTGGTGCACAGCGCGTTGTTTCGGTACTACTGTAAAGTAAGTCGCTTAAAACAAATGATTCGGCAGCAGAAGAAGGTCTGGAAAGAAATGTATTTTTGATGGGCCAAAAGGGACCTTACAACTCCAAATCTCTGGTGGTTTTGGACCTGCTTGGCAAAATGTGGATGTTCAGAGAAGGTTGCGATGCCTGTTCGCTGTCTTTTAGCTGAGCGGACGGCTACTGACCTCAAAGCCAGGCAGCAGTTAGAGAGGTTACAACTTTTGTTCATCACTTCTTGCTGCATGCTTTCAGATGTCCAATCGATGCCGGCTGTTGTCAGACTTTCGAATGCATACAACTCACGAACCGTTCAGATGTGGCTCGCTCTTTCGCCGCAGCGGTAAGAGCCCGCACATAGGGATTTACTGCGCAGAGAGCATGGGCTGCAGGCAGTTTCTGTCTGGGATAGCAGCACGGGGTTGTCCGGCCCGCTGTGTTGCGGCAGGCAGCGTCTCCAGGATGCAGGAGGGAGCGCGGCTTGTGGTTTGGAGTCCTGGGGTGGAGGAGGTAGGAGGGCACGGACTGGAGAAGTGGTTTGTCGTCTTGGTCATATGAATATCTTGCTCTTGGTTATTAGGTCAGGAAGCTCTGCTCCGTCACGTAGAGGGCCAGACTACCCTGAAAAATGAGGTGTATGAACGTTCTTGCCTGTTAAGTTGCTCGTGGGAGAAGTATCTTGTTCAGTACTCTTGTCTTCATATTTAGCCGAATTTTAAAATTCGTTACTGGCAATACGAAGAGTGCAGATTTTATTTTCTTGTGAAACTTGGGGAGCTGCACTATCGTGCAATATTCCAGTTTCCTCTTGGTGACGTTTGGGAGGGAAGTTCATTTGCTGTGTCACTTCATGTCACAATCTAGTCCAAAATGGCTTTTCCTGCATCAGGAATTGAGAAGGAGGATGGGGGGAATGAAACTGCCAAAAAGTTATGCAGAAACACTTTTTGGAGGAGGGGAGGAGATGTTTAAGAACTTTAACTTCTTGCATTTCTTAATCTATTGCTATGACAAAAGGTCTCTACCAGTAGCTCTGTTTTAAATACACTTTCTATGTCCTTTGCAGTATTTTTTTTTTCTTTAATCTACTTCAGTTTTAGAATTGACATGTTTTACTGTGGGGAGTCTCTTGCAGGCAATTGCTGCTTGTTTTTAGTAAGCCAGATCCACGTGGGTGAATAGCAGTGGGCTTTATTTCAACAGAAGAATTATCTTGGTGAGATTGTTCTTTGGTAATTTCCCTTATGCCCTTCTGCTTTTTTTTATCATATGCTATAAAATAAGTTCCTCCCAGGCTTTGTCTTCTGGTTTTAGAGCCCTTTTTTCAGTTGGTCATTCTTATTGCAGTATTTTATGCAGTGTTAGTTGAGGTTTCAGGTTCCAGCTCTGTGTGGCATCTGGCAAGCTCCAGAGGTGATTCTCCATGTGCCAGGTGAAGCACCCAGGTGATACCTGTCTTGGGGCAACGCAAGCATTCAGAGCTCATCGCCTTCCTAGTGGTCGGAGTCCCTCTGCACCCTGGAGCAGGGCCACCGCTGATGCTGCTGCCCGCGTAGCACCGCACTAGAAGCTCCCGCTGCTTCCCGAGCCTCGGCGGGACTTCCGTAGCAGGATTGCTGAACCTGTATTTGCAGAGCACCAGCTGAGAAGTGTTGCTGTATTGTACTGAGGGTGGCATAGCACATCTTCCTCATTCTTCTCTGTTGTTGGACTTAGCGTCGAGCCCAGTGTCCCCTCTCTTGTGTTTCAGAGGCAGGTACGGACTCTTGCACCGTCTCCCTGTTGACTTGTGGTCCTGCAGAACGATGGAAGTTGCCAAGACTGGGCTAGACCGTGTTGGGGCCTGTGGGCTCTGGCTTATTAACAGCTCTCGTTAATCTTAAGACATAGCAGCTCCCAGGGCACATATGCTTTCTCCTGTCCTGATGAAGAAGGAAGGGACCCTGTGGATACTGCAACTCTGTTGATGTTAAGTCAACAAGGGGATTCAAAAGCCTATGTTATTTATTTATTTTTCTTTTCTTTGTGTGGACACAACATGTCTGCAGTCCTTGGTCTGTGGCTCTTACCTCTCTGCGGTGTCACTGTCTTACCTCTACCAGGTGGGTACCAAGTAAGCTTTGTTGAACCTTTGTAGTAAGGAGGAGTTTAAAATTTAGCTCTTTTGTCTGTTTATTAACCTGGCATTGCTTACTACTGAATTCTTGTGAAGCAGTTAGGGTATCATCAAATACAGATACATTGTCTTCGCTAACTCTGTGTGTGTAGATATGTAGGGGAATCCAGAAAGAAAAGATCATCCAGGAGATTAAAAATTCTTTAGCACAACAACATGGCAAAAGTACAGTTCAATGTCTGCACCCGTCTTACCTACCTAAATACTGAGTGCCAACTCCAGATGTCTGTCTTAATGCCCCAGTAGTACTTTACACAATGTACGATGTAGAAATATGGAAGATTTGGCCTAGAAAACGAGGGGATGCTTGGTGGTAATTGCTACACTAGTTCAGTACTCCAGTAAAATACACAATTATACAAGGTTAACTGGAATGGGTGTTCTTTTTAAAATTTTCTTAGTTCATGTTATATTTAGTATGTGAATGTATGTTTATTTTTGTTGTTGCTTATCAGCATTATTTTGGGGACTGTTATCGCCGTAGAAGTCCCCTATATTTTACTTTCAGTTCAGTTTGGATCATTTTTTGTTATTCTGGTATGGGTTAGGCAGTTGGCTGTAACAATGTAAATCTTGATACACTGAAGCTTCATTCCTGTAACACAGAGTTTTATTTTTACAAGATTAGACTTTAGTGATTGATGAGTATATCTGCAGTAGCAGTGATGGATCAAAAGTTAAGTATGTGTTGATATTAGTACTACAACAGTTTAATTGCGGATCTTCTGAATTATTTAAAATATGTCATTTTTACTTATCACTCTGCTGATCTTGCATTTCTTCTCACTCTGTTATTCAGAAAAATCTCACTTTTTTTCCAGGAAGAATTAAATTTTTGTGCCAAAGTGCTTAAAATGTATGTTTCTGTGTTGTTATCGCTCAGTAAATCACAGAAGTGCACACCTGACCTGTTCTACCAAGTTAGGTCTGAAGTGCAAATCAGTTATTCTAGGGAGGAATCTTCTCTTGGCTGTACATTCACACCCCTCCTTATCTTGGAAAAATCAGCTGCTTAGTCTAGTCTAAATCTTTCATGTTGTTATCTGCAAGTCTTATAAAATGGGTGTGCAGAAGTTGTCAGACTTGGGTTTTTTTTAATGTAAATGCTCACAGCAAATAATTCAACATTTCCAGTTTTCCAGTCTGATGATTATGAGAGAAGTTATTTGGAAATTGCATTCAACTCAAGGAAACAAGGCACAGATGGAAGAATACTTGGGAGAAGTATCATATGCTTGCCATGTTTTTATGCACTTTTTTTTCTAGCCATCTGCTTTTGACTGTTTCTCCATTGTCAGAGGCTTAGATAGATGGTCTTGTGTCTGACCCAGCGTGGCTTCTGTTTTATTCTTGGTGCAGAGAATTACTTATTTACCCCTTAGATTCTGATGCTACAAATTATATTTGCTTGTTTTCTGTTTGGGTCAGTTAATTCAAAGGAATTTTAAAAAAAAAAGTGCATAAACTATACAAAAAAGAGAGAAACTGTAAACTTTTAGCATGTTTTAAAGGACTAGCGTGCTGGATAGAGGCCTAGTCTCTAAAGCATTTGAGTGTATGCTTTGAGACCTTCATAGCAGTATGTTTGAAGTAGTATTTTTCAGAACCAAGGAAGGTAAGCAACAGCATCAGCCAGAAGAACTTCCTCATGTGAAAGGATTGGAGGTTGGAGACTTGGGATGTCAAAGCTATATATATGTTCTTGTATATATATCTTCTAGGCAGTGCTGACAGCAACTGCAGTGTAAACCAATACTTCCTGCTGGGTGTTGACAGCATGCAGCTCTGAGCTAGCATGTAGCCTTTTATCTCGGGCAGCGCAAACGCATCCTGAAGTTCTCAGGGTCTCGGTCCCGCTCCACCTTTAAACATGGAATGCTAATGCGTGGTGGTTGCAGCTAACAGTTTTGTTGGAGTATATAATTCAGGATTATTTTCCAATGCCTTAATATTTCAAAAGGGAAAAACTCATTTGTATATTGGATTTCAGTCTCTTTAAGTTGATGTTCGTTCATCTGACAGAAAAGCGGTGCCCCCAGCAGCAAGGTTTCTTAATTATTAGTGGTCAGCGTCCCCTGTGTGGCTGGCTTGGTATTAAAGCAGCAGACTGTTAAGTTAATGACAAGAATTTCATAAAGTTCACTTTATGTTCCTGTAATTGTATTTTAAGAAAGAGGCTGGGTTTTGAACTTACCAACAGGTAGTCATGTAGCATGATAATGGAGAAACATAAAGGTTAATGGGGAAAGCAAACTTCCCTTCTCTTCCTTCCTCTTGTCTTAAGCTAGCTGTCTAAGCTAGTTGATTTGACTTTTTTTCTTCTGTGAATATTCAGCTCTCAGTTTATATTTTTACACCCCCCACCTCTTTATTTTGCATCTGCAGATTTTTTTCCTGTGAATTCTGACTTGTCAGAGCTAATAGGGGCAAGAGAGAGATAAACATAGCCTGGAAAAGGCTTTTCTGTGGCTTGGGTCAACTGCAGCGTATCTGCGTGACAGATGCTTACACCTCTTGTGAGTGATTTGCTGAAGTCTGATGGATTGGTGGTGCTGGTGAGCACATGTGAATTGCTCACCGTTTCTGATGGCGAGTGTTTCATTGGCAGCAGTGCAGGCCACTGCCTGTGCTGAGCTTTCTCGGGGTAGCTGTGAGCGTTCAGTTGGTAAGAAGTGTTAGGTTCCTCCCTCGCCTAGTTAGGCTTTGAGTCCCATGACTTTGGGTTTTTCTTCAGTACTTATCCGTGTAGATGTACGCTTCCTTCTGCACATGTCTTTCTCGTGGAAAGGGGGTGACCCAGGAGAGTTCTCAGGGGACACTTGTGATGGGGTGTGACTCGGTCCTTTGCAGTACAAGATCAGCCCAGGTAGGCTGGTCTCCCTGCTGCCCTGGAGGCAAACGTTCCCCTGTGGGGTGAACAATATATGAATTGGCTGTAGGTAGGGAGGAAGCATGGTCCTCCATTGTACTGAAACAGAACAGAGGAAGAGTAGGATTAAGCGGCATATTTTCCTCACAACTGAAGATCAGTTGTAGCTACTCTGATATTCTGCTGCTTTTGGAAGTAGAGAACTACACTGAGAAAAGAAGCTACAGATGAGACGGTTAGGTAGGTTAGTCAAAGCCAAAGAGAGGACTCTTGAGGTATGTGGGAAAGCCTTTCCAAA